TCCACAGCCTCTCCCAGTCCTCATCTCTGAAAGGACTGAAGCACAAGAAACATCGTCCCGGAGGGACTCGACCACACGCAGTTTGCAGGGACGGCACCCGCTGTGTCCAATGCCAAAGCCCGGCTCTGCCCACTGCGCTCCTGGCAGCCACCTTCGTACCATCCTTGCACACAGAAACTGTCACGGAACCGCCTGCAGGAGGAAATGTGGCAGCACCTCGCAGAGGGCAACCGGGCTCCTTGAGCCGTGGAAAAGTTCCATGCGAGACTTGTGGGGAAAGTTCACAATGTCCGTGGTGCCCAAGCTCCACACCCTGCATCAGCGGACCAGTCTCGGCCCAGGACAAAGCGGGGTGAGCAGACCCAGGGCTGCAGGGGGTGCAGCAAATTGTCCACCTAACACATCAGAATGGACACTAGGCTACCTCTCATGTGGACCAGATGCAGGACTACAGGGATGAAGGAAAAAAATAAGTACAGGAGATAAACTTATAAGAGGTGTTATAAACCGGGCATGGTGGCCCACCCGTGTAATCCCAGCACTCGGGAGGCTGAGGCAGGAGGATCATTGAGAGTTTGAGACCAGCCTGGGCTACAAAGTAAGCTCCAGGCCAGCCTGAACTGCAGAGGAAGACCCTGTCTCAAAAAAGGACAAAGAAAAAACAAAAAGAGGTGTTATAATGTTTATTTCACTGTAGAAAATCAGCAGTGAATTTTAATACACTTTTGGGGTGTTCAACACCTTGCTTGGGGCAGCAGTTATTGAATAAAATTGCCAAAAGTCACCACACCAAATGTGTAAGGGAAAGGAACTAAGGTGGATGTTGTGGCACACACCACTAATCCTAGCACTCTGGGAAGCTGAGGCAGGAAGACTTCAAACTCAATTCCTGCCTGGGCAATTTAGCAACTTAGCAAGGCCCTGTCTCAAAATACAAAATAAAAAAGGCTGAGGATGTTCAAAGCTCAGTGCAAAGGCCCCGAGTTCTATCCTCAGTCCTACAAAAAGGAGGAGGAGCAAGGAGCCACCTCAAAGCAGACAGAGCCCTGGTGAATTGGTCAATGCTTAGTAGAGTCAGTACGGAAGAGTGTAAGACCCAGAGAATCCAGCTGAAGGCCCAGATCCCACTGCAATGTCGCGTGCAAGTCCACACCAGGAGGCCGAGGAACCTGCGATGGAAGACTGAGGATCTGCGCCAGAAAGTCCGAGGGCCGGCACCGAAGCCTGAGAGTCCGTGCCACAGGCTGAAAGGTCCACGCTGGAATCAGAAGAATCCATGCAGAGAACCAGGAAACGCTGCCCAAGGCAAAGGCGAAGACCAAAGCTCCCCGCCAAAGTGTCTGTGCCCCAGGGCCAGTAGATGACACTGCTAAGCCAAGGACCAGAGCTCCTCCCAAGAAAACGGGAGCATCCTTGGGGAAGGCCGAGCCCAGCCGGAGGAGAGCTGCGGCGCCTTTCCATGGTTCCCCGGAACGCTGCCGACTCAGCCAGCGGGGCTGTCCCACGCCAGCTGACCCTTAATGAACCAACACACCTGGAAAGTCAGCCCAGCTTTCATCTACAACATTTGGATCTCCGTTAACGAAGAGTAACAGCAGATTCTTAAGAGATGTCCCCAAAATGGTACCAAAGCCACACAATTTCAAGATTTCTATGCACTGAGTAAAGGCCTCCCACAGCCAATTGCTCTAAGCCGTCTGCGTTTCTACCCTTATGTCATCAGCTTTCTCTGAAACAAGTCCCCAGGCAGTCTCCCGTCACCAGGGGCAGTTTCGACAACAGCACAGGCTTTGCAAGATGGCATTTCACCAACGCAGCCACAGCCAGCCACAAGGCAGCAGGGTTCAGCCACTCTCTGTGGCCCACTTCCGGCCCCAGGACCTTCGACCCACTTCCGGCCCCAAGATCCCCAACCCACATCTGGCAGGGCTCCTTCACTGCTAGCCTTCTGCTGTTCTCCGCAGACCCCCTCGGACCCAGGCCTTTGCAGGGCAGCAGGCAGCCGGACATTACCAAGGTACAGCAAGGGAGAGGGACAGTCCCTGAGAGTCTCCAGGACTTGGACAATCTTGTTCCTGGCTGGACACAGTTCACAAGCTACACCCCTTGTTTCCAGTAACGGGAGAATTACTGAATAAACAGTAATGGGGAAAATGTGCTACTTTGGAAAAAATGGGGGCTCTTTTAGAACAAATATGAAAAGAAATTCTCCACTGTACTGCTAGAAATGAAACAAGAAAATAGCTAAGAGAAAATGCATATGGAGATTTAGATGATCCTGGGGTTTAAGAAAGACCTGAATGGGCTTGGGGTGGATCTCACCCTCAGAGAACTTGTTTATCATGTCCCTGGTTCAGTCCCCAGCACCAAATGCAAACAAACAAAAGCTGCACGAAAAGAAACAGGCATGAATATGCATGATGTAACCGTCAGAAATAAACGGTGTTCAACAACAGTCGAAGATGTAATGCCATGAGAGTTACCCATCAAAAATTAAAGAACCGAGATTCGAAACCGTTTACAGTTGTGTAAAAAGCATGTGTGTATGGGGTACATGCAAATATGTGCATAAAGAAGTTTGGGAGGCTGGGCGTGGTGCCGCACAGCTGTAGTCCCAGCACTCAAGAGGCTGAGGCAGGAGAATCACTGACAGTTCCAGCCTGGGCTGCATAGTGAGTTCAAGACCAGTCTGAACCACAAAGCAAGACCCTGTCTCAAAAAAAAAAGTTCAAGGGAAGATGAAGAAACAACTAAAGCACCAGCAGGAGGTAGACCTGGCTAAGGAAATAAACTGTCCTCTCCTCTGTTCCTATGGTTTAAAACTTCTCGCAGAAATACAAAACAAAATACTGTTCTTTAAAAATCCACAAACATCAGCAGCCATAGTATATGGCCCAAATCCAATGAAATCTGAGATGAAAAGTAATCAACCAAAAAGAAGGTGAAAATTCAGCTTTTCTTTACAAGGTGGACCTCCTATCCAGGGGCTACTTCCTGGCTGGGCTTATTGTAGCATTCTCACTTAAAGGAAGAGAGATGCACAAGGAAATCACTAAGGGGCCTCCAGCTTTAAAATTCTATGAACTGAGTCAGGCACCGTGGCGCAGGCCTATAATTCCAGCTGCTCCACACAGGCTGAGGCAGGATGGCCACAAGTTCAAGGCCAGCCTGGGCAATTTATCCACAGTGAGACCCTGTCTCAAAATAAAACTCTAAAAACATCTGAGGGTGCAGCTCCCTATAAGGCCCTGAGGTTCAAGCCCTAGTAAGACAAGAAAGTAAGTAAATACAGGATGGCCATCACTGCAGACATCTGACTTCACATAGTCACGCCCCTCTTTTAAAAGTACAGCACTGGATCAGCAACACCAACAGGAAAAGTGGCTTAAAGCCATGAGACAGCCTAACCCGCACATCAGCCTTATCTGGAGCACTGTGGAGACACACCAGGTCCGGCACGCACGCCCCGGAGTCTCCACTGCACTGAACAGGTGTGGAGCAGGTGCCCAAGATTCTGCATCTCTATCAAGTTCCCCGGCGATGCTAAGGCTGATGCAGCCCTGTGGGGAGAAGACTTTCCCGGAGCACAGCAAAAGATGTTTCCCCAGCACCATCCCCAGCAGCAGGGTTTTCAGACTGTCCCTTGGGAAATGCCAGCCTGCTCCCTGCTTTCAGAACAATCTCCCCAGTGGGAAGCAGCTCAACAGAGCAGCTCAGAACACAAGCTCACTCCGGAGCCAGGCAAGCCAGGGGCAGAACCTGTTCTGACACTTACTGGCTCTATGTCCCTAGGCAACACAAAACACAGTATCTCAGCCTGAGTGTCCTCAAGTGTAAAATAAGTGACAATAGTTCCTTCCCCTCCAGCTATCAAATAGACCCAAGTCATCAATGAGAAGTTAGCACACTTTCCCATTTCCCTGAATTTACTTTTTTTGTTTTGTTCTGGAGGCAGGGTCTTGCTTTGTACCTCAAGCTGATCTCTAACTCCTCTGATCTTCCTGCCTCAGCCTCCCCAATACTGAAACTACAGGCATGGGTCACCCTACACCTACACTTCCCCTGCCCCTTCACTTTGAAAACCCACAAACACAAAGTGCATCAAGAGTTCTGTGCCTTACCTAAAGCTACGGAGACGGTTTACTTACTGTTAGTTATTTTGCACGTTAACCACCCCTCACTCTCTAGGAGAGGGACCAAGGAATCGCCAAGAACAGGTCCTGAATACACCACAGTTAAAACAGGCTGGCCTTGAACTCACTTTGTAGCCTGGGCTGGCCTCGAACTCAAGGCGATCCTCTCTCCTCGGCCTCACCAGCGCTGGTCAACAGGCGCGCGCCGCCAGGCCAGGCCAGGCCATCAGGAGTCACTTAGATAAGGCTTTTTCACCTGTTTCCTCCGACAAGCTTAGAGATCTCCGTAAGACCCCCTCCCCTGTAATCACTCAAGGTGGAAAGGAAAATTCCACCCAACGCGGCTAAGGCTGGGCAAAGACGCACTCCTAGTGGCTATCCGAGTCTCAATCAAACGCACAACGTGGAAGCAGATCTCTCTCAATAAGTGTCCTCACTCATACATTAAAAATAATAAAGGGATATTTGACACGCGCGAGCGCACGCACAGCGGAAGCCCGTAGAGCTGGCAGGAGATGTTGGGTGAAGAACATCAAGAGGGGTGGGGACACTACGGGCGGGGGCACTGGCTCAGGACGCCCGCGTTACGCTTTGGTTGCGATCAGATGAAGGCAGCGGCTCCGAGCTGCTTTCTTAAAATGAAACAAAAACCCCTGCGCGGTGGGCGCCCGCGTGGGATGCAGGCGGTTCTCAGCCCGGCAGGGTTCCTCCTCCCGGCAGCTCGTCCTCCCCCTCGGCCTGGGCGCCCGCCCCCCGCCGCCCGGTGCCCTGTCCCTTCCCGGGGCTCGCGGGCCGTAGGAAGCCGGCGGCGCCTAGAACGCGCCCTCGCCCCTGGCACGCGGCGCCGGCACACGGGCGTGCGCTCACCAGAAGAACACGCGCGAGCAGAGGTTGGCGTCCTGCAGCGGGTTGGGCTTCGCCTGCTGGTGCACAGGGAGCATCTTGCCGAGCGGCCGGGGCGCGCAGTCCGGGAGGGAGGCGCGCCGGGGATGCTGGAGCTCGGGCCGCCGCGCCGGTCCGCTCGGCTGGAGCCCGGGGACAGCCGCTTCCGGG